ACTCTAGAGGATCCCCTTTCCTTCTCTTTTTGAAAGTTTGCTTTCACATGAAACATTTTATGACTCATCAACATTGACTTGGCAAAGTTTCACTCATATTAATTCATCATGGATTACAACAATGATTTTTAAAAACACTAAAAAAAACAATTATTTTAAATATTAAAATATATTAAAATGTATTAAATATTACATGATTAAACAATCTTTCTTTTTCTTATCTTTTCCACCTTTTTTACCAGATTTAGAATTTTGATTATTTGAACTTTCAGTATCCTTCTTTGATAATAAATGTTGATAATGTGCCTCAATGACACATTCGAATACATCTGCAAGTCCTTCCATTGTCTTTGCTGAACATTCTCTATAGAAATTAGCACCAATTTCTACTTTCATTTGTTCTCCTTCTTTTTCAGTTAGAGGTTGTGAAGCTTTTTGTTGGAGTTTCCTTTTTTGTTCTGGATCATTTCTTAAATCAATTTTAGATCCAACTAGAACAATGGGTGTATCTGGACATGATTGTTTCAATTCAGGTACCCATTTACTTTTAACATTTTCTAATGATGATGGATTGACAACTGAAAAACAAACCAAAAATACATTTGTATCTGGATATGATAATGGACGTAATTGATCATATTCTATTATGTTGTTATGTTATATTATTTTGTTATGTTATTTTGTTATCATGAATATTATTATGAATTAATACATGTTAAAATAATGATGTTAAAGAGATTACAATTATTGTAAAATAAATACCTTCTTGTCCAGCTGTATCCCACAGTGCCAATGATACAGTATGTCCTTTATATTCAACATTACTACTATAATTGTCACAAATAGTTGGAATATATTCTAAATTAATTAATTAATAACAATAACAATAATCATCATTATCATCATCATTATCACATTCAATGATACTTAATTAAATAGAAATACATACCATCTGGAAATTCATTATTACTATATGATAATAATAAACCTATCAGTAATTATTATTATTATTATTTTACAAAGTTTAAAAAGATGATTAAAAGCGCGGGAATTTTAAAACCTACATGTTTTACCAACAGCACCATCACCTACAACAACACATTTAATTTGATCGTAATTTCCTTCTTCTTGTGAATCGTCGTCAGTCATGTTTTTCTACTATATTGTTGTTTACAATTATATTTATGTGTGTGTGTAAATATATTATGTTATATAATATTATTACTATTATTATTGATGGTTTTTTACTACTATTGAGTAAATGTTGTTGTTGTTTGTTTTTTAAAAGCCTTTTGAAAACCTCACAGCAGCACACAAACTAACGTTGGAGGAGATGAAATATTTTTTTTGTGTAGATGACATTTGATTGATGAAAGATTGGGAGCGTTTGTATTCATTGTGTTGTTCATTCTTCATATTATTGTTATTGGTCTAATGGTAAGTTGAAGAGGCTAATTGTTAGTTTGTTATTATTCGTGAAGGAAAGTTTCCATCACTTATCTTTGAATTGGAAGGAATTTTACTTTTCAACCTGGTGAAAACAATATTGATGAAGACTAAATTTTCATTGATCGATCAATGTTGGATTTATTATTATTATGATACAAAGAGCATTATGTGATACATTAGTCTTGTAGTATCAACAAGCCTTTTTAATTCTTCTTCCTAAATTTTATTCTCAAGAAAAGAATAAGAATAAAAAGGCTTGTTGTGTGATGATGTCATCAGCATGAAGAAGACACAGTGAGAATTTCAAGGCTTTAAAATAATTCTAAAATTAAAAAAAAATTCAATGGCACCAAAGAATCTCTTGTCCAATTATCAACAATTAAAACAAGCCATCGAAGATGAAGATGAAGATTTAATTCATTCTACATTGGAAAAGTGTATGTTGTTATATTAGTAGTAGTTGAATATATATTCATCATCATTTTAATCTTATCTGTATTAATCTTCTTCTCCGTCTTTCATATTAATCATCAACATTACCATCTTGATCATCTTCATCATATAATAATAATAATAGTATTATCCAATGATAAGAATAATAATCAATTAAAACAATTAAAAATTGTTAATCAAATTCAAAAAGGAGAATTTAACAAGGTTATTGAAAATTTGCAATCCACTAATTTTCAAAAGATTTATTCCTTGTATAGATTAAATAAAGCAGAGGAAGCCTTGAAAATTATTCAATCTAATAGAAATGAATTAAATAATACTAATGAATTATTATTAGC